AATGACCCAATGACCTCTATTCAAACACGTATAACCCAGGGTGGAGGCAACATGCAAATTTCAGCTGGGGAGGAAACCAGGGAATTCAAGGACATCAGAATGCAGGGCATTATCAGCAAAAGGCAGCGCAACAACCAGGATTATTAATGCCCACTCAGCAACAAGGAGCAAGGCTAGTGGCTAATTCTTCCAATTCCAACTCCATGGAAGCATTCATGAGAGAGTATATGGCTAAAAATGATGCCATGCTTCAAAGTCAGGCTGCAACCCTAAGAAATCTGGAAGTGCAAATGGGACAAATGGCCAATGAACTGAAAAGCAGACCACAAGGAACTTTGCCAAGTGATACTGAGATTCCTAAAAGAGAAGGGAAAGAGCAATGTCTAGCATTGACTCTTCGATGTGGCAAAGCATTACCACACCAGGGTGAGAGTATTGCAGCAAGAGGAGCTTCTAGCAGAGAAGTTGACTGAGAGTATTGCAGAAAATATACCTGTTAATGAGACCAGAGTGAATGGTGATGCAGCATCATCGAAGCAAGTAGCTCAACAAGAGCCGGTTGCACAGTAGGAAATGGGAAGGCATTTCATGTCCATGGGTAGAGCATTGATCGATGTGCATAATGAAGAGCTCACCATGAGAGTTAATGACCAACAAGTGACATTTTCTGTTTTTCAAGTGACATTTTCTGTTTTTAACTCCGATAAGTTTCCTAATGATGTGGAGGAATGCTTTTTGTTAAGACTTGCAGAAGACCTGCTGAGTGAAGAAATACAAACAAAAGAACTATTAGACCAGCTTAGTCTATTGCAGCAGCTGAGCTCCATGGCAGGGGTTTTAGCAGCGATTGAAAGAAGACAGAAGACCTACCTCAGCTATGCGAAGGAACGAGATATTGTAATCCACAAGGCGATGATGAGGAATTTCTCTCACCCATTTTCCCCTTTCCTAAGATTTCCAGAAGACAGGTCTGATGAAGATGAAGAAGTGGATGATGTTGGAGCATCTCAGCCTACGGGCGGCTCTAGTGAAGAGGATGAAGAAGCTGAACAGGGGAGTTGATTTCCCCGCTTGAAACCTGTTTTACCTTTAATTTCTTCTTTTCAGCAAAAATTTACTTTTATGCACTGTTCATTATAGTTAGGTTAGTTTATGAAGTTTCAATGTTTAGTTTTTGCAACCTTAAATTTTAGTTTTTAGGCTATTATGATTTCCATTCAGTCCATTAAATGAAAATGAAAATGAATGAATGATCGTGCAAGATGTTGTCAGATCTGCTAGCTTGTGTATTTCTGGCTGTTTTTTTATGTGGTCTAAGATGACTGGTCTGTGGATATATTTAGGATGCTTGCTTGGCTAGGTTTAGAAAAGGAAAAATTCAATCAGTGCCCTTTCTCTAATGTGTTCTTAAGTAGCATTTGATAGCCTTGCCTTGCTTAGTATCCCCTTTCCGCCCTAGAAACTTCACCAAAGCTGAATTTCAATGGTTCATTATCTTGTCCCATCCACTATTAGCAAGCTAATGTCTTTAGAAAAATAAGCAACTACTTACCCCTCTAGAACCAATTCAGATAGGAAGTTACTCAAATCCAATTTTCATCCATCCTGTCTTCATTATAAGTTTGGGGGAGCCTTGCCCATAGTTCTCAAAAGTCATTCTTTAAGCATTGAGGACAATGCTTCTTTTTATGTTTGGGGGTGAGGGATTCTCTCTTATAATAGTATAGTCCATGTTGTGGTAACATCTTGTAAAGTTATGAAGAATTTTTGGCCCTGTAATTTAGCTCTCTATTAAAAAAAAAAGATTTAAAAGAGCTGCAGGGTTCAGAATGGCTAGTAGCCCATAACTGTCTTAGATGGCTTTAGTTAGTTAGCAGTATAGGCTAGAAAGTCTGTGCCTTTGAAAGGAGGTTGAAGAGATTTTTCTTAGGCGAGTAAGGGAGAAGGTGAAGTGAGGCATTCAAATGTTAATAGAACACCTTAGTTTTAGTGGAATAGCTGTTTGTGTCCTTTATGAGCTAATGCTAGAGCAAGCTGAGAAACACTTACCACAGTAATGAATTTTAGGCACTGGAAAGAGTAGCCGGAAGGCATGGTTAGCACAATCTAGCATTCAAAAGGAAGAATATTAGTGTCACTTGAGGACAAGCAACAGTTTAAGTTTGGGGTGTGATAACTCTCCAAATAGAGAGTTATTTTGGTATTATGTTGGTATAAATTAGCTAAATATAGCATCACTTGCACCCTTATTCACTGAGTTTGTGCTAAAAAGATCATAAATACTAGCTTTTTATATTATAGTATTGTCAATTGCAATTGAGCTAATTTTGGTGCATTTTGCTACAGCTTTGACGATGCTACAGCATCAGATCCAGATTCAGAAAGCAGTAGAAAACGACAAACTGATAGTGAAAGGACTGCTCAACGGGATTTACCAAAGTAACTCAAAGAAATATCTGGAATTTAGAGCTGGGGCTCACTTTATCCTTTGTGTTGCCCTAAAATTAACGATAGGTATAAAAGTCACCTTTTAAGGCAGCCTTCAAAAGATATTCTTCCCCACTATATTTTGAAATCATCTATCCCACTCTCCAAGAAAACCTCTCCAGCTGCTCGTGGAAAAGGAAGAAGAAGCCCAGAAATCTACTGCTGAAACAGAGAACAAGAGGATTCTTCTCTTCATCTTTGAATCTCTTTGTTTTATTTCCATTTTAGTTTTTATTTGATTTTATTGTATGGCTTTGCGTACCTAATCTAATTCCCTTGTGGTTGTAGACTTTGTTACTGTTTTTAAATGATGAAGAACATTGAGTTTAAGTTGTTTTATAAATTTATTTTCAATATGCTTGATCACCATGTTGGAATACCTTCTTGTTAACTTTTGGAAAATCCTAATAGGAAGCGAAATACTTCATCTCGAGCTAGAGTCTACTTGAGTTTAGCGTGTGGTGACTTAGGGATAAGCATCACCAAGCTTCGTCATGAAAACTGTGCATATATGCTGCTATTGTTTGTCTATGAATGTTAACAGTAGAAAATCTGGAAAATCTGGGAAGATTCCATGTTTGTTTGGCCAATGCTCTAGCATCGTTTATGCTGTAGCATCGTCTGCTTAAGTCCACAAGAGTCACTTAGCCGCTTCCCCCTTACTCACTTTAATATCAGTATTTTAGTTCATATTTGCGCATTTTCCTCAGACATTTTGCTGTCATATGTCTTGAATTCATTTTAACAGTAGTTCATTGGTGTATTGTTTGGGTTGATTTACTTTAGTTTTCCTATTTGTTATAAATACTTTACTTGTTTAAACCCCCCATCTTAAGTGATTATTGAAGTGTGTAACAATCAATCCCTGTGGATACGAACTTTTTATTACTTGCTGCGACGATTGTGTACACTTGCATAAGGGGACATAGATCGAACCCAACAACCACCCTACTATTGTCGGAACTGCGCCCCCTTCTGTCCAGCCGTACCGTGAGCAGCATTCTTGCCACCTCCAATTGTCGTCCTTCCTGGTCGGCGCACTGAGGCTAGAAAGGGAAGGACGATCACCTTTACCAAGTACGTGAAAAACCTGTCACTAACACTTGAGGTGTCTTTTGTTTCCTACTGATATTTCGATTACTAACTTGATCGTCGAAGTGTATTAGGCAGTACACCGCACCAGCATCAAGTTCTTGGGTTTCTGGTCTAGTGGATCTCAGGCCGGGCTGTTCGTCCAGGTACCACATGGCCCTCTGACAAAATTCGCTGTCAACAATATCTTATACAATTAACCTACAATCCCTCATTTAAATTGAACAACTCAAATTCTTTCAAAAAACTTTGATCCTTGTTTTACCCGTTATGATCTAGTGGGGACCTAATGGACCTATAGATCAGAAGCTCCAATGTTACGAGATTAATCGGTTAAAAACTCACTAACATTGAAAGCCTGACCAACCACGTGAACTAGGTTAAATAAAGAACTATTAGAGACCAAGCACACTAACTACAAGGGCGAGCGCACCTGGGCATCCCATACTGAAGACAACCATTAGTAGGCAGGGTGCTGACACCCTCCTAAATCGTGATACGGCTTAGAGGATCACCTAGGAAGCTGCCACCACCCCCATATACGACACTAAGGGAAAATAGTCAGTGATCCCCATGGATCCCAAGTGAGGCATATCGACCCTCTTTGTTTGTCTCACACTTGAAAAATCTCTCTCTCTCCATATAAGAAAAAGAACAATCCTAATCGAGGTAAGTCGTCTTCCCTTACACAACTCCTTGTGAGAATTCGACAAACACTCTCAAACAAACTCTCACCCTCAAGATTATTATTCTCTTACTCTATTTGCTCCGTACCTGTTTGCTCTCAACATGAGTTATAACTTAAGCATTAGAGTGCATTCCACAGAGCATCATATCAATGCTAGATAAGTGTAAGCAACCAAAACCGTATAGGTGAAGGCGTTTGTGGCACCTATGTGGCACCAGATGCAACACTAGCCCAAAAATTGACATCAACACCTAAAATGAAAATTGATTGATTTGTAAAGCATAAATTAAAATAAATTAGTAAATGTGGTATGAATAATTGAGAGTAATTTGGTAAAAAAAAATTCTCTTTTAAAACTGGAAATCTAAAAGTGTAGATAATTATAAGGTTGGACATTTGTAAAATATTGACCCTACAAATACTCTATGGGGGAGATTTTCTGTAAATTAAAACTATGCCCAAACCTTGGAACAAATTTGTAATTTGGTTGTGAATTTTTATATTAAAAATTTGTTTTCATGTAAAATTATATTTTTTTAATTTGAAATTTGGAAAAAAAAAAGAAAAAATTGAAAGGAAAAAAAAAGGGTAAGAAATAAGAAACAAATACTATATACCTCCTTTTCCCTTATTAATACACATGAAACAAAAAAGAAGACAAGAAACGAGAAGGTGCCAAATGACCCTGAATAACTAGGGAAAAGTTGTGGAAAGTTGTGGGATGTACACAAAATTTGCTTTGTAAGAGTTTCAGGCAAGTTAGAGTCAAAGAATCCTATTCAGTTTGTATGAACTTCAAGAGCAAGTATCAAGAACTGTGAATCAAAGAAACAACTTATCATACAAATATGATGAACATGATATAATATAATGACAAGGATAACCAGGCATATATTTCACAAGATCGATCATTGATCATCTCTAATCCATCAACGGAAGTCGAACCGACGTTCTCCGTAGCCATAGTTGATACATAACCATATGGAAAGTATCATAATCAACAGGGGAAGGATGCCATTTGAAGTGTCTGCGCACCTTCAACACATTACTTTGAAGCACTTGATATTCCTCATCACTAATTCCCTTCAAGATGTCCTTCAGCCTTGGGATATCCGACGTCGTTACAACGACCGAGAAGCTCTTCCAGTTCAAAATGTCACCAAACGGGAGGTCATAGTAGTTGGCGATGATCACAGGAACGCATCCATAGAAGATAGAATCTCCAACTCGTGCGGTGTTCACTTCGAAGCCTTTGACATGAAGGCAGAACTTGCTCTTGAGTAGCTCATCAGCATAAGGTGTTCTAAGCCGACCCGAATGAGCAAATATCTCTGAGTCCTTACCCCACACTCGAACAAGCTCTTGACGCGTCGGGGAGTTCATTGCTCCAGCGAAAAACGCCAGCCTTGTCCTGAAACAAATAAGAAATAACAATTAGTCATCAACATAACATTCAAAACAAAAGTTAAGGTCCGTTTGATAACAAGTTTGTTTAAGTAAAAAGAAAATGGTTATCAAGGAAGAGGGAAGAACCCTCACCTGTTTGAAGAAGCGAGATTTGGGGGGTCTTGTTTCCGAGGCCAAATTTGGGGCAGAGCGGCATCCTTATGGGAAATGTAGCCAGTTAAGAAGTAGCTAGAAGAGCAAACAACTTGAACGACACTCGACTTAGCTTCCCCCGATTTATCCATGGCGGATCGCCCGACAGAATGGCACGCGACGTAGAAATGATCAGTGCCACCCGTTCGATTCCAGTACGGGTACCTGTGGCTAATAGTGTAGATGTAATCTCGAATGAAGTTTGGAATACCACTAACGCTAACCCTGCGGTCGTTACGGAGGCCAGTGATGGAGAAGGGAAGGAAGAAGAAATCAGCTTCCTTTGGATTGTCTGTGATGAAATGGCTTTTGATAAGAGATTTCTTGAAGTAACTCTCACTGGCATAGTTGCCGTGGGGCTCAAACTCCTCTGGCAACAGAGAACGTGCAAAGGGATCGCTGCGTTTGTGAGGGTAAACATAGATTTTGAAGCTGTTGTTCATTTCTTTGTAGTCCTCAATAAATAACTCTTCGTCGTGGAACACTCCCTTTGCTCTTCCTAAACACACAAACAAAACAGAGCAACCTCAGCTCCCAACTACTCAACGTTTAAATTTTATTTTCTTTTTTCATTTAATTCTACCTAAAACTACCTAATCCATTTATTCAAATTGAGATATATGTTGGGAAGTGAGATTTAAATTTGTTTCTTCTTTTCATGCTTTGTGGGTGAGCAAACAGCATTATATTAGAGAAAGCTCAGCTAGAAACCATGTGATTCATGTGTCATTCTCCAATATTTTCTCAGTAACCAAACAGAAACAAAACAATCAATTTCGGAACACCCATCACATCAGCAATTGGAAGCAGTGAAAATCCACAGAAAAGACTAAAGAGAACCAAAAGCAAAACAAAACATAAAACCCAGATTTTACCAAATGAAGGCAGAGGAGGAGGATTTCGATGCTCCAAAGTGACCTTGTGGCGAATCTGGAGAGTGGAAATGGAAACGTTGAGCGGATGATCCGAAGCGGAGTATTGAAACTGGTGAGTTTGGATTATTTCTGATTCGGAGGCAAAATTAGGGGCAGACCCAGAGGAGTTGTAAAAGACGATGAAAATCAGAGCGTTGAGAGCCAAACAAGTGGGGATCAACAAAAGCCCTCGAAATGAACTCATCCATGGAGATTGAGTTTGAGCCATGGAGATCTCTCTTCTTTCTCCTCTCAACTATTACAAATTTGCAACCAATTTCGAAGCCAAGACCAAACCCATTTCTAGTTTTCGATGAATTTTCAATTTTCCATGGCGTGTCCCGTTCAAAGTCATGTTGTTGCCGTGCTATTTCCTTATTATTATTATTATTATTTTATTATGGTGTTGTTTAAGAAGTCTTAATGGGGAGCTCATGGAAATAGAAAAGAATAAACTAATCTTATTTTTTTATCTCATGAAGATTCGGATTTTTTAGTCTTCCCATGGGAATTAATGACTGTGGTACACAGAAATAATATTCTTTTTTTTCAAGCACACAATATATCCAAAATTGTTAGAAGAGTGACATTTTTCCATATCTGAACAAAATGTGTATAATAATTAAGGTTAAACTATAGGTGGCGTGTATTTAATCTATAAACTTTTAGTTACGGCTTAAAATTCTTTATATTATTGTTAAAATGGCGATGGTGTAGGTTAATTGGAATAATTAACAATGATTGGGCATGACCCAACGCAATAGTATAACTAGTTTAATAAAATAAAAGAGAGAGGGTAAAAAAATCAATTTAAAATGTATTATGTTATTATTATCATAAAAATAAAAGATTGAGGGTAAAAGAATCCATTTAAAAATGTAGTATGTTACTATTATCATAAAAATAAAAGGTGGAGGGTAAAAAAATCAATTTAAAATGTATTATGTTACTATTATCATAACTAACCTCTAGCAATTATGATTATTTGAGTTTGATATATTGGAAGTGAAATAATCAACCAACCAAACTTTATAATAAGCTTATTTTTAGTACAACAATGTAAAAATACGGGGAATTGAATTTCCGACCTCGATAAAAATAGTACATGTCAATTATCGTTAAACTATGTTCATATTAGCAATAAGTTTATCTTTTTAATAATAAAAATAACTGAACTTTTTAATGGAATTAATAGTAATAATATATAAAAAAATATTAATTATAAAATTAATGAAATCGTTAAAATAAACATTTATGTGGACCCAAGGAGATTGTGATATTTCTAATAAATAAGTATGTATTCGACATATTTTTAAAATAGTTATGGGTACTCGTAGTTCTTTTTAGACAAATTGGCAGCGTACTTCCAAAACATTAAAAATGTTTTTTCAAAAGTAGTTTCAGAAATTTAAACAATAAATAAAAATATTTAAAACTACTTTTAAATTAAACATAGTTTTCTTCTAAAATTGCTTAGAAAATAAACGCTTCATTTAAAAACACATTCTAAAAAGGCATCCCAAAATTTCCTTAAATTCTAAATTGTAAATTCAAAGTTAATTTTTTTTTTCATTATGCCTATTGTTTTTATTCAAGTGTAAAGATTAATTAGGACCTATTTAGTTGACCGTTCAATTCTCTTTCTTGTTTCCAGACAATATCCATTTAACATATATTTAACAAAAAAACCGTTTTTGGATCCTGTAATCCGAACCGTGGAAATTCTTAAAAAAACATTTTTTACTTTTTCAGCATTTTCAAGTTTTGAATTTGAACTTTAAAATGCACTGCATTATATATTATTTCATGTTATAAATTCATTTATTTTTTGTTAAAATTAAAACAGGTAAAACATAATATATTACGCATTATATAATATTGTAAAATAATAATTATACAAAATTTATAACAAAAATATTAAAAATTAATTAATATTATTTTACGTGGAACTAAATATTTAGTTAGTAAGTATGACTAGTTTACCAATATCATTAAACAATTCTTTAAATTAAGATTCAATTTCCAAACCTACTACTCTTGAAATACTGAAAACAAAGAATATAACTATATTTTTTTATTGAATTCTTTATTTTCAAGTTTTTGTTTTCTAATCACCAATCAAATACATCCTTAAAAATTTGAATTTTCAACTTTTAGTCGAATATATATAACTTAATTATTTGAATTACTCTCAAATTGATAGTTAAATTTATAACCTAATCATAATTGAGAGAAAATATATATAATATTGCAAGGGGCTAGAATCTCGATTCGAAATGCAGTCAACATCGTATGGCATTTCTGAATGGTCCTTTTTCATAATTTTGTAATCACAGGAAGCGGCGTCGTCGCTGTCCATGTGACGCCATTAAACTGTCGATTTTTAATTAGCTGACAATTGGGACTTTTCTTTAGTTTGACTCCAATAACTAGAGTTTGTTTGTTTTTTTTTTTTTCTTAAAAAAACTCCAATAATTAGAGATCCGCTTTGGGGGGTTTGGAGGCTGCTCCCCTCTTATTTCATTTTATTTTACTTTCCACTTTAGTTAAGGAAGATGAAAAAAAAAAACTTAAAAGTTGAGTCCACATTAGCATAATTCATCAATAAAAATATATTGTTCTTAAATATATTATACTACTAAAAGGACAGAATATTTTTTTAGGTCTTTAAAATTTGAATTATACATCTATTTGATCTTTCAAACCTGACATTTTTAGTTGTAAAAATGGGTTAAATGGTTCTAAATATACTTAACATGTTTTTGACCCTTAATTAACTCATGATGCTTTGATGTGTTCTAATTAGGAAGGTTACTTGGCAAAATATATTAATTTAATAATATTTTCATCTTCTTCTCTCCTCCTTTCTCTAGTGAACTTTGTCATCGTCCATTGCCTCCTCGTAACTATTAGCCTGCCGTCCATTTCAATTTTTATTCTTGTTTAGATGAGACGACATATCCATTCCAATAAAAATAAAATATTATTAAATTAATATTTTGTCAAATAATATACTGTCAACAATTTAACTCTCACATCATCTTAAAATTAGTCAATAGTCAAAAAAGTTTGGAGACTATTTAGAACAAACTTTATAGACCATATTCATTTTAAAACTTTAAAAACCAAATAAACACATACTTTAAATTTGATACCAAAAGTTTATTTTACCCGAAAAATTTGAGGGAGAACAACGAATTTTCGTTGTCATTAACCATGTTTGTCGAATTTGAAATTACGCTCCAAACAAAATTAATCTCATTTCTCTCTAAAAACTTCCTCAATCTCGTTCTCATTCTTTCGTTAGCCCCACAACATCTTCATTAATTTCTTTACCATTTTTTCAGTTACCTCTCATCATCTATGGGTAGGATTCACACATTTTTATTTTTTTTTACGCCTTTTACTTTTTCTATTTCTATTTATACTATCAACCATTTTTCTTATGATAAAAAGAATCATTTAATCTTTTCTTTGGTATATGTATTTTATAATAAAATTACAAATTTCAATTTGATTTGTTTACTATTTAAATTTAATTAGTTAATTTGTTATAATATATTGTTATTAAATAATGTTATAGGGAGATAATAATAGGGTGGATCAAACGATAAAAAGGAGACTAGACCAGGAGTAAAGGACAAATCAAGAACCATTGAGCAAGTTGAACCGAGTCAATAAAGGGTGACCCTTTTGGCACCAACCAGGCCTCGACACCGAGACCTTCTCGGCTCCGAGGCCTTCTCGGCCATTGGCCGAGAACACTCCTTCGATCTCTCTCGACCAGTGTGCCCTCCGACCCGAATCTGTCTTATTTGGACCCCCAATTCGACACTAAGCCAGCGACGAAACACATGGGCCCAGAAGCCAAGATCACCTGAACACCCTAGGGTTCGACTCATGTAAACCTTAAAGGGATTGGGATTTGATTGCTATAAATAGCAGGATGAGCCAAACCCTAAAGGTACAAGAAACATACCCTACTTTCTATACTAGACCGCTTTGATACTGACTTAGGAGTCGGATCCGTGTGGTAAAAACCACACCGGTCTTAGGACAACTTATGTTTTGCAGGTCTCGTCGATCATGTTTATTCTAGAAGATTGGTGTAAATTTGGCGAAATCCCAGGAGGCCAAATTTTTGCATCAACAATTAGCGTTGTCTGTAGGAATGACTAAGATTTAAAATTCGAAGCCTATTTGACCGAGACTAGCTCATATCTGAGAAAATCATAATGAAGCAAGTCGACATGAACCTTGGAGGGAATCAACAGTGCTTCGATGAAGCTTGTCATCTAGGAGAAAGCCCGAACAAGTCAATCAGCCACTGTGGAGGAACTCACCCGAGCCCTGGTCACCATATGGAGTCGCCCGCTCCTAATAGGGTAGAACCAGCCGAGGAGGTGGAGTCAATCCCCTTGACATCTGAGGATCGACAAGTCAACATCGGAACCAGGTTGGGGGCTGAGGAAAGAGCGAGTCTCATCAACTTCCTCAGAAGCAACGCTGACGTGTTCCCGTGGTCACACGAGGATATGTCGGGAATCGATTAGGAAGTTATGGTGCACCGACTCAATATCGACTGGAACTGTAAACCAGCGAGGCAGAAACATCGTACCTTCAACCAAGATAGGAATGAGGTTGTGGCCGAGCAGGTAGATGAGTTGCTGAAAGCAAGGCTTGAAGTACATTGCCCTAAGTGGATATTCATCGTAGTGCTAGTGAAGAAGGCTAAGTGGAAAATGTGTATCGATTTCACAGATTTGAACAAGACTTGCCCGAATGATTCTTTTCCTTTGCCTCGGATAGATCATCTTGTAGATGCCACACCTGGACATGAGAGATTAAGTTTCAGGATGCCTACTATGGGTACAACTAAATAAAAATGCATCTGCCTGACCTGGAGAAGACTTTTTTTGTCTGTATTGCTACATAGTGATGTCATTTTGGTTTAAAAACGCAGGTGCTACGTACCAAAGGAAGGTAAATCAGATGTTTGCACCATTGATTGGCAAGAATATGGAAGTTTACATGGACGATATGTTGGTGAAGAGTCGGTGGGGTCATCAACATGAAACGGACCTACCAAAAGCATTCGAGATCTTAAGGAAGTACAAGATGAAATTGAATCCGAGCAAGTATACATTCGGAGTGAATTCAAGGAAATTTCTTGCATTCTTGGTGCATCAGCGAGGAATCGAAGCAAACCCTGATAAAATTCGAGCTGTGTTAGAGATGGACCCGCCTAAGAATTTAAAGCAACTACAGGGTCAATGGAAGAATAATGTCACTCAACAGATTCGTAAGTCGCTTAACTCACAAGTGTCTCCCCTTCTTTAAAATTTTAAGGAAAAAGGGA